GCCTGTAATCCCAGCTACTCGGGAGGCTGAGGCAGGAGAATCGCTTGAACCCAGGAAGCAGAGATTGCAGTGAGCTAAGATTGGGCCACAGCACTCTAGCCTGGGCAAGAGAGAGAGACTCTGTCTCAAAAAAAGAAAGAAAATAGAGAAGCACGAAGCATGCATGTGATTAAGAAACACTGAATTCGTAACAGGAACAGGACTGTGGAGGGATCCACAGGAGTCTCCTAGTGTAGTATTCATTTTTCTTTTTCTTTTTTTTCTTTTCTTTTTTTGAGACAGAGTCGGGCTCCATCACCCAGGCTGGAGTGTGATGGCCTGATCTCGGCTCACTGAAACTTCTGCCTCCAGGGCTCAAGTAATTCTCCTGCCTCAGCCTCCCAAATACCTGGGATTACAGGCGTGTGCCACCAGCCTGGCTAATTTTTGTATATTCAGTAGAGATGGGGGTTTCACCATGTTGGCCAGGCTGGTCTTGAACTCCCGACCTCAGGTGATCCACCCGCCTCGGCCTCCCAAAGTGCTGAGATTACAGGCATGAGCCACCATGCCCAGCTGTATTCATTTTTCTAACAAGGGATTCTTAAGCAAATGCGGCATGGTATTCAGATCTGATAAAGGTGGGTAGCAGATTTGTGGGAGTTCATTACAGTATTTTCTATTCTTGTCTGTACATTTGGAGTATTTCAAAAATTTACAAATTAAGTTAAAAAAGTGGTGTTTCCTGCACCCAGCAGGGATTGAGGCCCACCGTGCCCACCAGATCCATGACAAGGTTGAAGTCGGGGTGGGTGGGCCACAGCCCTCTGCTTCCCTGCTCCGTGCCATGGGGAGGGACTGGCCAGTTTTCCCACATGTTGGAGGCCCACGGTCAGAGACGAAGATTATCAGAGGCTTCTGGAACCCTTTGCTGAGCACAGAATACCAGCAACCGCCCTCTGCTGGCAACCAGAGCTGCAGAGCCCTTGGGCCCTACCTGCCACCTCATCCTTGACATTGGCCCAGCTGCATCCCTGCTCCAGATCTGAGGGATGCCCGGCATCCTGGGTGCAGAAATAGGGGTTCTGGCGTCCGTAGACGGCATCCTGGACCTGGATGACCTGCCCCGAGCCGCAGTGCATGGTGGCATTGAGTCCCTTGCAGGCCAGGCTCTGGCCAAGTCCTGTGGCAAAGGGAAGGCAAGACATTAGGGGGGCTCACGGTTACAGACAGGCAAGTGCTGGGTCACGGGAAGGGGACAGTCCCGAGGGTTAGGCTGAGATGCAAGAACTCAGGAGCTGTTTGGCAGGGGTAAGAAACAGAATATGGTCGTTGGCAGCATTGTGCTGAGCCAGGTTCCCTGGGATCAGATCCAGCCCAGCCACACACTGCTGTGTGACCTTCAGCAAGTTAGTTAGCTTCTCTGTGCCCCCACTGTAATACTAAACCTCATGCAAGCTAGGATCCGTGGCTCACCACTGTAATCTTGGCACTTTAGGAGGCCAAGACAGGCAGATCACTTGAGGTCTAAAATAATACAAAAATTATCCAGGGGCGGTAGCTTGCAATGTAATCCCAGCTACTCGGGAGGTTGAGCCAGGAGAATCACTTGAACCCAGGAAGCGGAGGTTGCAGTGAGCCAAGATCACACCACTGCACTCCAGCCTGGGTGACAGAGCAAGACTCCATCT